GTCAGTTTTCTTAATCCAAATTTGCTTAGTAAATGGGTAATATGGTTATGAGCATATTTTTCAGCCCTCTAATCTTTGTAAAAATATAAACTTTCAGGTCTAGTGTGGCCGCGAACCCTACAATAATGACAAATGTGTTATATTGTTTATAAACGCATTTGTTTTGCTATGCATTACCATGACCTTGTCGGGCTGAGCTTGATTCAAGAATGTTTGGATCTGGTCCTGATGCCTTGACAAAGACAGTTTTATCTTTGTTTTTGCCGCCAGTGAAACCTAGGCCAAAGTTCGTAGTTGATTATCTTCCCGAATCAAGAATTTTATCAAGTGTGGAAGTGTTGTCCAACATCTTGATTCATTTCTTGAGAGTGTTCAGCTCATGCTTCAGTTTTTCCTCTCGATCAAGACTTGCTTTTATAAGAACATCTCTACCAGTAACTTGATTTTTGTACACTTTCCTAGCATCTAATATCCCAACTTGACTATACAAAGAGTAATTAGCTTTAAGTAAAATCTCCCATTTGGAGTACAGCTTTTTGTATTCTAATTCATATGAAGGAGCAGGCAAATCTAGATCTTCAGTTGAGGTGTATTCGTCGCCTTTTGAGTCAGCAACTTCTTCAAATTCTTGATCAACAGCAGTAATGGCCGTGAAGGCCACGAAATTTCCAGAAATTTCCTTTGTATAAGATTCAGCAGCTTCTGACTCAGGTTCATCATCACTCCAGGTCAGGGCATACATTGATTTCTTTCGTCTTAGGTACGTGGGACATTCTGCTTGGACATTACCATACCCTTCACATTCATAGCAACGACTACCTTTGCCATTTGTTTTGTCTTTTGACTGGGCTGGTCGTGAAGTAGCAGGTTTGTAGTATGAAGTTCCAGGTTTTGACACATTCTTTGACATGTTGTTAGAACTTAGCTCGATCCATTCTGATTTTGAAACTTACCATTTCGTGAGCTGTTCTTTTGTTTAACCTGTTTCAAAAACTTAGAAAATTGTCTAGTCAATAGTGCAATTGGATTATCACCAGACTCATCTAGATCAAACACGGAATCAAGATCTTTAGCGGTAAAGGCAACAATTTTCTCATTCTTGGTGCGATCAGAAAAGATTTTCATCTCATACATTTGAAGGTTTCCTATTAATTGAGCCACAGAATTATTTTTCCAACCTGCGTTTTCTTGAATAGCAGTTACCTTCATTTTGAAACGTTCTGGTAATGACCTTAGGATTTTCTTGATCAGCTTTGGTTGAGAGAAAGGTTCACCAAAAACGATGGCTCTATTTTCAAGTTGTTGAACACGTCCATTAAAGCCCACAATGGTCTCGTCCTCATTCATTTGAAGTTCCTCAAAGTCAAATTGTACAAGTTGTAATTTTGACTGCTTGACTGAGTTTGTGCCTTCATAGGTTGTTTCAAGAATTTCCCATGCAGCTTTGGCTGAATCGCAACCTGCAACCAAAGTAAATTGACTTTCATACATTAGTGAGAAAATCGTGTTGAGAGCTTTGTTGTTATAGCCAACATTGGTCATTTCGGTTTCATCCCACTCTATTTCAGGTTTGGGTACTAGGGGATTTTCTGGAGTAGCTCCAGCGTTGGTAGGATGGGTCCATCGAGTTAAAACTGCTCGCCAAACCCGTTCGCCTTGAGCTTTAAGATGTGTTCTGGTACATGTTTTCCAGTAGGCATAATATCACCTGTTAATTCAGGAGGGGGCCTATGTCTTTCCATCTTGAAGCACTTAGCACACCGTGAGAATGAACAAAGCAGCACAAACAATACAAATAAGATTAACCGCTAAAAACTTTAGTTCAAGAAACACGATATAGCCAGATTGGTAGACTAATAATTTAAGTCTACGAGCTCTGATACCAAGTGATAGTGAATCGTGGATCTTGAATAGCAAGTAGCTCCTACAAGTGCTATTTAAGTTCTATTTTAATTTTAATTAGCAAAATTTTAATTTAGTTTGATTTTCATAAAATGACAAAGCAAAATAAAAGACAAGTATAGAAAAATAGAACCAGGACACATCAATTGGTCACGCAATTCGGAGCTAAAACTCCTACGTCTGCGAGGCAACTCACGTCATCCCAATCCACTAGATGTTCACCAAGATTACAGGGGTTTACATGACATAGTCACATACAAAAAGGAAACAGGAAAATACACCAACATAATCTTCAATATATCTACGTTGGGAGAGGGTACGTGCATGCCATTATCAACCTTCAATCTTCACCTCGCAAGATACTACCTCGTGGAGAATATTTTACCAACTCAAGATAGATAAATAACCAGCTTAATAAAATAGAATTTCCCTTCGATTTAATGCGCTGAGGTTGTGTAACTAGAACTCCAAAATCTCAACCTTTTATAATCAAATTAGAGTAACTAATTTGACTCAAAATGTGCTGTCTAGATTTCCATAATAAATAAGCACCATTCATTTAAAAACCAGCCTGAAAACTTGTTCAAAACAACTGAATTTTGTTAGATAAAAACACAATATACACTGTCCAAACGCTGACATTGATCAGAAGATAGCTGAAATAAATTCAGTAATGAAGACTGTGTCGCTAAAAGAGATCCAGGCAAAGATACGGTCCAAAATAGTCTAAATAAAATATAACTTAGGTTTGACAAATAATTAGCCAAATAAACAAAATAAAAAAAGTGTATCATTTGTACCCTTACATGTATAATGGTATTAGGATGGTCAAATTATCTTTAAGGTCCATCACTTTAAAAAATGATACAATTAAAGATAATAATTGTTAATAGTGCTAATATGATCTTTAGAAAAACTCGTAGCGGCTATAAAAAATTGCATTAGTGCATATACTTGACACTTAATGGTTAATCCAAATTTAATAACACTCTGATCAAGATCTCGCTACTGCGTACTGGTATAGAATGTTGGCATGGTTAGTAGAACACGTACTTGTGGTGGACAAGAAAAAAAAAAAAAAAAAAAAAAAAAAAAAAAAAAAAAAAAAAAAAAAGAAAAAAGGACAGAATAGAATCTCAAGAGGTAAAGTCAATGCAGGATGAAACATGTTTGACTTTCAGTTTGAAAAGCTCATCAAAAGTAAATTAAAGAAAACAGGATCTTTTGCTTTTACTTTCATGAATATATATATATATATATATATATATATATATATATTGGCTCTGTTTGGTAACATAGTTAGTTTATCAATTAATTTTAATTTGTCTGGCCACTATTAGTGTTTAACTTGGTTAAACAGTCAATGTTTGATTAATAAGTTTTTTGTAACAGCTTATTGCTTCCAAACGTTAAAATTTAAAAAGCTACTCAAAGCAGCATTTTGAGAAAAATAAATTATACCCTTAAAGATTATTTTGCAGTTAATCATCTATCAACTAATATCTAATTTACCAAACATCTTTTTACATCTAACTAATGTTATTAGTTAGTCAAACTCGCTAACCCCGATTGTCATTTCAAATGCATTCCGGCTGCCTTACAGCGTAAGATTATTCTGACGGCGTTTGGGCAGGGCAAGAATCAATATGATGATATGTGTGAAGTGCATTTGTTGGCCGCAAATGGAGCATGCACTACACCCAAGAGAATCTACGCATAACCATTTTCCAACTGGCTTAGCTCTGTTGCACATTCTCTACGCACTCCATCTCCATCTCATCTGTTTTCCACTAATAGTCGCCAATTTTGTATCGTCCAACCCAATCAATGCGTGAGGCTTTTGTGTATATATCATAATATCATATGTTACTGAAAGATGATATATGTTAGAGTTTGATGGAGTTTAGAGTAAAGTGCACGGCAACAAAGCCGAACGAAACAAGAACACATCTTCTTAGTTCAAACCTTAATCGGTTTCCTGGGTGGGTCTGGAGTGTGGGGGCAGCGCCCCGCAGTTCAATATAGGGATAATTTTGTAAGGAAAAAATGTTTAAATTATTTACCAAACTACGTGTAAAAGTTTGTTCAATTGAGTCATTCAACTAAAAAAAAGTGCAATTATGTTTTTGAATTGTCTAAAATTATACCATCCGTTTAAATTTGACTTGTTCATTATATCATCGCTGACGTGGTGGTCATCATATTAAAAAAAATTAATTACTTAAATTTATTTTAATAATTTTAAATAAAATAAAATTTAAAAAAAAACAATAAAAATGAAAAATCTCACTGTTCTCCCCGTCTTCGTCTCCATCTGGGGATGAAGACGAGGGAGTGGGTGGGGTTTTATTTATTTATTTAAAATTGTTAAAATAACTTTAAACATAATGTTTTCAAATAAATTTAAAAATAATAATTTTTTAATTGAATTACCTCCACGTCAGCAATGTCTTGAGAAACACGTCAAATTTGATGAAATTGCAAAATTTTAGATAGTTTAGAGACCTAATTGCATCTTTTGAGTTAGATGACTAAATTGCACTTTTACATGTAGTTCAGTGACTAATTTGAACATTTTTCCTTTTGTAATTGTACATCTATAAAGATGATGATGCTTGTAATAATAGATATTCCATCGTCACAATTAATAAAAGATCTTTCCAAATGCATACTCTTCGGAACTACGTAAACTTATCTTCTTCATCTTCATTTTTTGTTCTTGATCTCGTGATCCCGTTTTACTTCTAAACCCAATGTTTGTGCATTAAGAAATTTCCAATCCTATATATGTAAATTGTTGTTGTCGTGATAAAGGGTATTTATCAATTTTGCGGCACTTTGAACTTTTGGACCACACATGATGCTTGTTAGTCCTTGTCAAAATACATTCACCCAATACAACAAAAAAGGTATACAAATTTGATTGATGCATCCACTGGCAAAAAAAGAAAATAAAAAGGCTCAATTTATTGATTGGCCCCATTTCAGATATGATGCCCCAAGTAATACAATTTAACATTAATGAATCTGATGCCTTTCTTACTTATGCTTCTTCCTTCTCCTTCTCTATATAAATAAGAGTTGATGATGGAGTTTTGTTATTAATCAGTAAAACAACAATAGCAACTGCAGGGCATAGTAAGAGGTTGAGGTTTGCAGTTGATTAAGATCATATAATCTAGCTAGCTAGCATTATACTAATTCAATGGCGGCTACCCATCGACGTTCTGTTTCATGGCTATCTTTGTCTTCTGTTCGTCGCCCTACAACCGCACCCACCCCACCACCCGCACGGTCAGACTCCATTCGACCCCCGGCTTTTAAGCCATTTACGACACTTTCATCTGCACCATCTGCTCAACCACAAAAGCCTACTTGGCCACCAACTGCAATAGGTGCAGCAGCACCAGAGCAAAGAGCTCAAACTCCACAGCCACCACCCGTTCAACGCCCGCTGTTTAGGTCTGCCACCGCCACCGCCAAGCCTGCCGCCGCCTCTCCTCCACCGCAGCCAGCAGCCGCTCCCATTTCCCTGCAGCCTCCAGCCAGAGCTGCTGCACAAAGGTCCTCTCCTCCTCCTACTCTTACCATAACTTCTCCAGCAGTCTCTAATAATGCCCCTAAGGCCCCAACCACTACTTCTCCTGCCCTTAAATCATCACAACCTATTGCACCATCCATTCCCACATCCCCAATCACCACCAACCCTTCATCTCCTTCAACAATTCTTCAACAATTCAACAATTCTTCAGCAGAAACGACTGACCATAAGAGCTTACTGGTGCAACAAGTCACTGAAAAGTCCAATCAAGTTGACACTAAACACCATAAATTACAGAGCACAGCACAGATTGCGAAAGCTGGGGTAGCATTCGAAGAGAAGGCGGTAGCCATGCAAAGAAAACATGGAATGAGAATCGTGAGATTAGTTGGTAATAACATTGGGGCAGCCATGGTCGTCAGTGGAGCTAAACCTCTAAGCATTCAGGACAAAAGAAGTACTACTCCTAACTGCAATAAGGAGAAGAATCGTCCTAAAACCTTGCAATCAGAAAGCAGTAGTACTCTATTCATTAACAGTAACGTTCAAGGAGTGAACAATTCAATTGCAGTTGACTCTAGTCTCGCTCACCATGATCCAGGGCTCCATGTATTCACCTTTGAGCCCTGAAATGGCAGCATATATATGATTTAGAGAGAAAGCACTGAAGAACAGATCAGACCTTAATTACCTTCATACATGTGCATGCTCGATCTTTTACTTTTAGAGTTTAATTAAATAGAGTAAAACAAAATAAATGTAGCCGGTTACGGACCTCACGATTCCAGTTCCCTGGTTGCCATTTTCTAGCTAATGATTCATATGTACCCTTATTTTCAAATATATTGCCGTGTATGATGGAGAGAAGTAGTTATGATTATTCAAAATTATTTATGTCACTCCCTAGTCAATCTAAGAAGAGTATATTAAGTTATGAAAAGTTTCTACTAATTTATCCTAGCTTCCTAAATTGTTTTAGCATCTATTGTACGTATTTATTCCTAATCATTTTCCTTTAATTTGCAAAATCTCTTTATGAGTTGTGAGACGGGTGAGTTTTTCACAAGTATTATACTGCGGTCTGCGGCTCATGTATTATTATTTTCTTAATAATAATTAACTCTCCAACTCTTAACATTACAATTTAATTTTAAAATATTATATTTTTCAGCATAAGTATTACACTTGAATAAGTAATGATCAATCAATTTATTCATAATTAGTACTATTACACTTTTCTATTAAGTATTACATTTTCCTTATAAATAACAAACAATCTATTTTACATTTCCATCTTAACTTGACATGTTTTATTGATAATGGTTTGTGACACTATTCCCCCAGACTCACCCTATAATAATTATCATAAAAGATGGTTTTGCATGTAAACGGGAAAATGACACTTTTTTTTCCCCTGAGTTATATACTTATAACACTTTTGCTCCCTAAATTATTTAAGTGGTAATTTTTTCTCCTGAAATGTTAAATGAACATATTTACCCTTAAAATAAATATTCCATTTATTTTTCTTCTCCAACAAATAATGACCACGATTTGGTTCAAACCGAACAGACACTATAGCAACCAAACTGAAATATACCGATTACGATTTAGAATCGAAACCCGATATTTAGAGTTTATTAAAATCGCGAACCGGAACGGCCGGTTCATGTTCCGAACTGAAAAAATAAAATACATTTATTGTTGAATTTAGACTATTTTAAAAATAAAAAATAAAATTTTAAAATAAAGTTTGAACTAGCAGTTCAAACTAGATCCGGAACCGTGAACCGGCGGTTCAAAATCAAAACCAAATCGCGGTCATATATACTTATATGTGAGAATCAGAATAAATGTAAAAAAAAAAAAAAAAAAAAAAACATACACTATTTGTAAATATTATAATCCTAATTTTAAACTAATGCTAGTAGTTGTTCCAATTCGAACCGCTGATTCAAAATTCAGGATCCAGTTTTTTCAATTCATGATTATAATAAACTGAAATCCAAATATTGAGTTTTGGATCTGAATCATAACCGGAAACTTTCAATTCGATTACTATAGTGTCCGGTTCAGTTCAAACAGAACCGTGTCATCCCTACTTATAAGCAATAATTTGTTGGAGAAAGAAAAATAAATAAAATGTTTATTTTAAGGGTAGAGATGTCAATTTAATATATCAGAGGGAAAAACTGCCACTTTTAGAATAATTGAGGGGGCTAATGTGCTTACATGAATAATTTATTAGAGAAAGAAAAATAAATAAAATGTTTATTTTAAGGGTAGAGATGTCAATTTAATATATCAGGAGGAAAAACTGCCACTTTTAGAATAATTGAGGGGCTAATGTGCTTACATGAATAATTCAGGGAGAAAAAAATGTCATTTTCCCTTTTGTAAACTCATTCTTTTTTTTTTTTAAATGCTAAAGCCAACAACAAACACCTCCACTGAAGCTCGATCTCATGACCTCTCATATGAGAGAGGCCCATACATTTCATCTGAACAAAAGGTGCTTGGCAGTAAACTCAGTCTTTGAAAATGAGTGGTACGGATAAGAAATTTTTAAATGTATTTAAAATTTTAATTTTAATAAAATAATGTTTTCCCCCTAATTTTTTTAAAACTTAAATTAATTTTCTCTTTTTCTTTTAGTACAAATAAGATTACCATATAAAAAATATATCATTAAAAAGAATTATAATATCGTGCAAGGTGAACCCTGATCCAAAACGACGCTATTTCATAACCTACATAAATGGTACTTATAGCGGCACCGGTTTTATTTATTTATTATTATTATTATTATTATTATTATTATTATTATTATTTGCAATCAGAAACAACATTAACACCACATGTTCATAATAATTTTTTAACTACAAATACATAATATGTCAATGGCAGGTGCATAATCTATTAACTATAAGTTTATAAAATTAATATCTTAAGTGCATAATTAAAACGTGTTAATTTGTAATTAAATATCTCTTAAAACTATACCATAATCATGATTACATATCAAACACTCAATTTATGAATCTTTAACTTTAAATTTATTTACAATTTTGTAACTAACATAAAGAGTGCATTTAGTGATGACGTTTTTTGTTTTTTTTTTTTTTTATTGTTTTTTTATTGTTTTTATTTTTTGTTTTTTTGTTTGTTTTTTTTTGGCACAAGTGTCAAATAGGCCCATTTACTGCTGCGAAGTGCTCAATTTCCACCACGAACTAAATGAAGTGTCAAATAGGCCTATCTACCAGCTAAATTTGTTCAATTAACTTTTTTTACAAGTTACCTATTTATTAATTATTAAAAAATAAATAAAATAAAATAATTAAAAAAAAATTAAAAAAATTAAAAAAATTAAAAAAGATAATAGCCACCGGCTGTCCGGCGAGGACAGCCGGTGGCTGCCCATTCACATACAGCCGTGGCTAGGGGTGTCAAAGTGGGTCGAAGCCCGCGGGTTAGCCCGCACCCGCCCCGCAATGGAGCGGGTTAGGGCCGCAAGAAACTAGGCTCGCGAAAATGCGGGCCTAACAGGTATGGTCCGCGGAGGGCCAAAGCCCGCCCGCGGGTTTCAGGCCATATTTAAAAAATAAATAAATAAATTATATACATAATATCTTTTTTTTTTTTAAATCATATATATAATATCTTAATTCTTAGGCAATGTATAGATCTAACTATCTAAGAGTACGCAGAAGGGGAGAAATCCAATAATTCAATAATCCTTCGCCAATTCTTAATTCAATAATTCCTAGAGTATGTAGTTCTTCGGTTCTCCCGTCTCCATCTGCCTCCAACTCTATCAAATAATTACTAAAACTAAATCATCAATGCATACATATTTATGAATTACTAAATCGCCTCCAAGTCTAGCAAACATTCATATTTATATATGTATTATACACAGACGGGAATTGTAGAGGGAAAATATGAAGCTAAGAGAGAAATCGAGTGTGCTGTTGAACCCTAGCTTTGATCACCCTTCTACAGTTTTGCTGAACGAGCGGTATCGATCCGGGAGATTTGGGTGAGGTTTATGGATTTTATGGAAGTTTCCGAAGCCATATTTCAAGCGGTTTTAACATGTCTATATACTATTTAATGTTTTTTTTTTTAAATTTAAGTAATGACCCGCGGGCCAGCCCGCGAGACCGCATGAACCGGGCTTGGGTTGTATAGTTCCAAGCCTGCGGGCTTCGCGGGCCGGCCCGCCAAAGCCCGCCAAATAAAAAGCCCGCGGTGGGGCGTGCCTAATGAGGCGGGCCGGCCCGTATTGAAACCCCTAGCCGTGGCTGTCTAGCAAGGACAGCCGGACAGCCACGGCTATCCAACTGAGGTCCAGATCTGGACCTCAAGTTTGAGGTCCAGATTTGGACCTGGAACGTATGGCCCCCGCCCTCGTTCCAAACGGCCATGGACGTCCTCAGACAGCAAGGCCGTCCATAGCCGTTTGAGGTCCAGATCTGGACCTCAGTTGGACAGCCGTGGCTGTCCTCGCTGGACAGCCACGGCTGTCTGTGAATGGGCAGCCACCGGCTGTCCTCGCCGGACAGTCGGTGGCTATTATCTTTTTTTTTTTTAATTTTTTTTAATTATTTTATTTTATTTATTTATTTATTAATAATTAATAAATAGGTAACCTGTAAAAGAAGCTAATTGAACAAATTTAGCTGGTATATGTGCCTATTTGACACTTAATTTAGTTCGTGGTGGGAATTGAGCACTTCGCAGAAGTAGATGGGCCTATTTGACACTTGTACCTTTTTTTTTTTTGTTTTTTTTTTTTTTGGGTGATGAAAAACAACTTTGGTACTACACATAAATAATCTGTTAACTCTAGCAAAATAATATGCTAGTTTGTGTTTGTCCTTATAGCTTAGTGGTAGAGCGTTAGTCTTGTAAATTGAAGGTCTGTAGTTCGATCCTGCATGGGGGCAATTTTATAATACAGCCTGCATTTAAGGCCTTAAATACTAATTGATGATTTTGTCGGGACCGGGTAGGGAAATAGAAGTGTTATTGTTCGGGATGCTATGCTCAAAAGAGTATGTACAAAGCCCGAGATACTAGCCCAAATAATAAATAAATAATACATCATACTATAACTCTAACAGCACGTTTGGTTCACGGAATGAATTTTGAGGTAATAGGAATGCTATTCCATAAGGAATGGAATAGGCAAGGAATAGAATAGGAATTGTATTCTATTGTTTGGTTCGCGGAAGGAATAGACTTTATGAATTATATTACAGTGTTTGGTTGATTTAAGGAATAGAACTAAAATATGTTTTAAAAGACATAAATACCCTTATAAAAATATGTGATGGTGGCGGTGGTGATGGTGGCGGGGTGGCGGCGGGGGTGGTGGCGGCGGGGGTGGTGACGGTGGTGGTGATGGTGGTGGTGGCGGTGGTGCTGGGGTGGTAGTGCTGGGGGCGACGGTAGCAGTGGTGGGGGCGACGGTGGTGGTGGTGACGGTGACGGTTGTGGCAGTGGTGGTGGGGGCGGCGACGGTTGTGGCGGTGGTGGTGATGGTGGTGGCGGTGGTGCTGCTGGGTGGTGGTTCTGGTGGCGGTGGCGGCGGTGGTGGTGGCGGTGGCGGTGGTGGTGCTGGGGTGGTAGTGGTGATGGTGGTGGTGATGGTGACAGTTGACGATGACGGTTGTGGCAGTGGTGGTGGGGGCGGCGACGGATGTGGCGGTGGTGGTGGTGGCGGTGGTGCTGCTGGGTGGTGGTTCTGGTGGTGGTGGTGGTGGTGGCGGTGGCGGTGATGGTGGTGGTGGCGGTGGTAGTGATGGTGGTGTTGGTGGTGGCGTCGACGACGACGGTGGTGAAATATGATAAATTTATATATAGGATAATAAAATTAGGTTAAAGAAAGGGGTAAAAAAGGAAATAGATTCTAAAATCTATTCCTGAGCGCTCAGTAATAGGCTAATACCAGGGGGGGCCCTAGTAATAGCTATTACCTTATTTGAGGTAATAGGCTATTACCAGGAATATTATTCCTGTTAATAGAAATGGTTACCAAACAACGGAATAGGCCTATTACTGGGAATGCTATGCCATTCCCAGCCTATTCCGTGAACCAAACGGGCCATAAGGAATGGACTAAGAATAATAATATCGTAGCTACGAATCGAATCTTGGTGTATGGATTGAAGGTTAGGACCACAAACCACTAAACCAACTAGGATTTAGTGAACCTAGAGATTGTGACACCCCGAAAATCCCATCCTTTAAATAGGATTAATCCCAATTCCTTGGTCAATTGATTTAAGTAAAAAAGGAGTACCTTTAGCTTTGATGTTTGTACCTAAATCTTTGGAGTCTTCCTAAGCCTTTCTAGGAAAAGTAAGGGTAAGATGGTGTTTTCTCCTTACTTGGTCTTGAAGCCTTACCCTACCCAAACCTAAAGTTCATTCCCTCACTATAGCAAGACAACTTTTCTCTCCCTTCTCTCTAAGAAACTTGCCTTCTTCCCCAAGCCAAGAAAGACCTCACCCAATCTTGCAAAGATTCATCCCAAGATCCCACCTTTCTATCTTCCAAGCTTAGGAAAGGGTGAGATCTAAAGTTATTTAGTGTTTTTGGTTAGCGTTAAGATGTCTTTATCTAAGTTTGGTGTTTTCTTGTGGTTTGGCTTGTGTAAGAAGGTTGTGAGGAAGAAGCGCTTCCAAGTAGGGCTTAGGAGGGTTGAAAGGAAGAAGGTTTTGGTCTACAAAGGTAACCCATGCTCTACAAAACCTATTTTATACTTGATATTGATGATTCTTGACTTTTATTGATGATTCTTGATGATTGTGAGTGATTTGATGCATGATCTTGTGATAATGCATGTTTAGAGCTTGTACCTAGGTACTTGAATGTTGTTCTTTGATCTATTCTTGGGTTCAAGTCATTTCCTTGTTGTATGTGAGATTTGGGGTGTTTTGGACTTGAACATGACCTTGGAGATGAATTTCCCCGAAGGGAATTAATTGTTGCACAGGTGTTCCCTGCGGGTGGAATGGAGGGCGGATGTCCACCCGCCGCCCCACCCACGGGTGGAGAGTTGTACCTGGCGGGAGGTACCACGGGTAGGTACCCACCCGTAGTTCCACCAGCGGGGTACACTCTCGGTGGAATGTCGGGTGTTGTTTGTCTCGTGGTTCCATATTTTGGTATGTGATGTTTTGACATCCTTTTGTTGGATCGTTGAGCTTTTGGGTGTCTTCTTGATGTTTCGTATGTCTAGAACGATGTTCTAAGTATCCATGTTAGGAATTGGTGTCTTGAATCGTGCTTATGGTTCAACTTTGTGATTCGTTGGATTTATGTGAGTCCTTGAGGTTCGTTGGAACCAATTTGGTTTACCCGTTTGATGAGCATGCTAGATATGTTGTCTTTGATAATAATATGTGTTGTTTGTCCATTCCTTTGAGGATTGACAACTTGTGTTGCCAATCGTGTTGATATTGGATTGAAGTCCATTGTTGTTGTTGAGTATTGTTTCATGTCTATCATTGAAACCTCTTGATGGATGTCTATGATGTGATCTTGTACATTTGATTGTATTCCTTGTTGATGTTTGATTGGGCTACCGTTGAGCCTCAATCCTCTTGATGATGACTATGTATAACTATGAATGAGATTGGTGGTAATATTGTTTGAGCTTTGCTCACGAGATCGGTGGTAATGTTGTGTTGTGTAATGGTACCCTCGTGTACTGAGAGATCGGTGGTAATACTATGAGATTGGTGGTAAAGATTAGTGGGGGACGAAGGTCCCAGGCGGAATAAGGTTGGACTCAGAAGTACAGCGTGGCACTAGGAGGTAACGGATGAAACAGAAATAAGGCCGGGGGTAACCATAAGGTTGGAACAGGGCATAAGGTTGGAATGTGAAACTTATCATTATGTGATTGTTGTGTTATTGCTTATGAACATGTCTGTTGAGAACTCTACCATTAAGATGGTAAGTTGTGGTCCTTGTTGAGTATGTTGCTTGTGATTCTTGTTGAGTATGTTGATTGTGGTCCTTGTTGGCTTGTGTATTGTGGTCGTTGGTCTTTGTTGAGAGTGTGGATTGTGTTCCTTGACATTTCTTCTTTTGGCTTTGAAATGATATATACTGTAATCCCTTGTCTCAAACGGTTTTGAATAAATAAATAAATAAATAAATAAATATATATATATATATATATATATATATATACTTAACGCGTATTGGTGGGTTACCAGCATCTCTCGCTGATGGGTGTTATCCCTATGTCTTTTCAGGTTATGATTAGCTTGGAGAGCGTGCTAGTGGATCTAGTTAGCGTAGTCTTGCCTTTCCTTTCGATTAGTTCTGTGGGCATGTGCGCCTTAGACTGCTGTTATGTTATGATGATTCTGTTAGACTTAGCCTGTGCACCTGTAGATTTTATGGGTGTGGCATAGCACTTTCTCGATTAAGAGTTTTGCTTCCGCTCGTTTGTGATTAATGATTAGATTGTTTATCTCTTATTTAAGTTTTTAAATATTGGTAAAATCGGGGGTGGTTACAGGGATGATCTTCAAGGGGAGGTAAGGGTGTCTTATATATTGATAAAGACCTTCCGGATGGTTGACAAATGTACAACATCGGCTTGACTTCAATATTGGCCATAAACGTGTTCCCTCACTAGTCACTACCTGGATGTCAACAATCTCCACAGGGATAAATAGAGCGTCCTACCTTTTTGTACATGATATCTTGAGTGTTTTTGGTGGTTAGTTCTTGCTTAGGTTGTTATGCTGGAGGTTATGGGTTCGAATCTTGTTGGTTGACTTTTGTTACCCTTTCAACTTCTTGGGCCACCATTATTCTCTGCCACCAAAATGAGCCAATGTCAAAGTCTTAAGTCCCCCATTCTTTGACGTGATGGGCAAAGAAAGTATAGAAGCTTTTCCTCCCTTTCGGATAGCTTGGTGCCCGGTTCCTGTAGTTCTCCTCACATGCTGGTCGATTCCCCCAAAAGGTTCCTTTTTCACACTCCAAATTTTGGATGATTCCAAGAATTTATCTAGGTGAAAGGGTGGCTATCTCTCTCGGGGGAGAGAACGGAGAAATCCCAAATGACTCAATATATCTGACAAGTCGGACTATATATCAATCCACGATGCATCTTCATCTCTGGGATTTTGGAAAGGTACTTTTGGAACACCAATAGGCCTAAAATGAAAAGATCTCCTACTTTAAATTTAAAATTTCACTTTGATGGGGAAACATAAAAACAAAAAATAGGGTTCTTGGTATAAAAGGCTTTTCATCTCTTTCGGATAGGCTGGTGCTTGATTCCTGCAGTTTTCATCACATGTTGCTCGGTTCCTACAGTTCTTCTCACATGCTATTCATCAGGATGACTTAGTTCTCACACGTACCTTGCAAGAAAAAAAAAAAGAAGAAATTTTTGTCGCCTACCCATCATGTGAGCTCACTAATACACCTCACCCCAATGGGTAACTTGGCGGTCCATCGAGAAGCTAAGCGAAATATATCAGCTGCTGAGATGCGAGATTGGATGTATCGACCGCCGCGAAACGGAATAAGATATGTTGAACGCTAAGAAGCAGGATAGAAACATGACCGACCGCTAAGAAGCGAGATAATAATATGTTGACCACTAAGAAACGAGATAAAATAGATGTTGATTACTGAGAAGTAGGATAGAAATATGTCGACCGCTGAGAAGCGGGATAATATGTCGACCATTGAGAAGCGGGATAGATATCTATCGACTGCTAAAAAGCGAGATAGATATATGTCGATTGCTAAGAAGTAGGATAACAATATGTCGACCGCTAAGAAGCGGGATAGAAAGATATCGACCGCTGAGAAGAGGGATAGAATTATGTTGACTGCTGAGAAGCGGGATAATAATATGTCGACTGCTGAGACATGAGATAGAAATATGATCGAGCGCTGACAAGCG